TGGGTGACTTCAACTACCCAGACATCTTGTGGGATGAGCATTCAGTAAGAACTGATTGATCACAAACCTTCTTCACTTGCATTGAAGAGCTCTATCTGACTTATCTCTTTCTTCTGCCCTCTCCTTCCCAGACATACAACCTTTGAACATAGAATAAGAGAGATAAAACTAACTCTTTGTTAGGAATGTATGTGCAGTCAAGCAAAGGATGTACACACATTGAGCCTCATGCTAGAGTTTTCCACAGCTTACTTTTTGAAAAAAAGCTTTTCAGACTGGCTATATTTCATGTAAATAAGGAAGCAAGATACAAAACATAGTGGGGATCTTTACAGGCCTATTAAAGGGCAACAGCTTTGCCTTACTAGAACCAACATTTATTAAGTTGGTGACTCTGACAGATGTCTTAATGTCAAGGTTCTTCTCTCTCATCAAATTAAAAGACTTGTGAGGCTAATGGAAACAAATGGGTTTCAAATAGCTCTCAGGAAATTACAGGGCAGTCAGTGAAGCACAGCCTCTTCTTTGTATGAAAACAGGAAGAACTTTTGTCCAGAATTATCAATATGGACAATATGGAGATCAATGATCAATCTCCTAGGAGCCTTCTTCTCCTTTTGCAAACAGAAGGGGTTGTTTGCTTTTTGGGGGGTGTGGGGTGTTATATATACAGATAACCTGGTACTTAGAAATAATAAGACAAGACACCAGGGACTGAAATTCACATTCAAAGCATTAAAGTATTGTTTTCACAAGGTGTTAAAAAAAATCTGGAAATAGGAAATACTAGAATAATGGAAGTAGGAAATAATATGCCAATTTTAAAAAGTGATCAAAGGGAGTATAATAACTTTTGGGGTATCTCCTTACTGTGCACAACATACACATTTTTTCTCAGCTGCTGCTAAACCATTTGATCCCATATGTACAAAAAACTTGTATGAGATTAGCAGCATGGGTTCAAGAAAGATGGATCAATTTTTCATCAGATATTTTCAATGCGATTATTGCTGGAAAAGAAATGAGAAGTTGCAAAAGAAATATACCATCAAGGCTGATGGTAGTATTAGCAGAGAATCACTATGGTGAATCATGGTAGGGTTTGGAATTTAAAAAAACTATGCCTTAATGATATGTGCACTGAAGGATCAAGTAGTTACATGAGAATTGAGGGAATGCTATCAGACCTGATGAAAATCAATTGTGGGCTCAAACAAGGGAACTCCCTGTCTTTTCAACTTGCTGTTTGAGCAAGTTATAAGAGCTGTTTAACAAGAAGGAAAAGGTCTGAATCTGTATGGATTACAACAGGTATTTGCATATGCAGATGATATCTGCCTAGTAGAAGAGGAAATGGAAACAGTACAAAAGATACAAAGATCATAGAGCTGAATACCAAAGAAATTGAGCTTGCTATCTATTTCAGCAAGACTAAATACATGATCACATCCAGAAGTAACATCACAGGAACATAATGATAGAGAATGACTGTGGAATGAATGTGGAAAAGGTACATAAATTTAAATATTTACGGAACAATAATGACTGAGGACAATCTAATAACTGAAGAAAACAAGACAAGAATTTACTACGCTAATATATGCCTGGTGAGCCTGGACAAATTAATGGTATCAAGGAAAATCTTAAGAAACCTTAAAATTCAGCTGTATAGTACAATTATTCATCCTATTCTTTTATATGGGAATTTTGAAGCTGACAAAATCAAATGGAAAAAAGGATGCAAGTGTTTGAAGAAAAAGTGCTAAGGACAATATTTGGTGCAGTTCAAGAAAATATTATGGGGGAGAAGACATCATCAAGGGCTTGTGGACTTTTACAAAAGTCCTAATATCTTAAGCAAGATAAAAGGACAGAGCATACTGTGATTCCTGACAAGAGAAGGCATGTGAGGTAGACTTTGGATGTTGAGGTGGAGGGTATCAGACCTCAAGGTAGACTAAGGCAACAATGGGGAAAATAACAAAAACTGATGTGGAAGAAGTAAGCAAAGATGTGACAACGAAAGAGATTTTACAAGATTGGAGGAGATGGAAGGCTTTAGTTAAGGAGGTTATAGACCCTTGAGGCCTTGAGACCAGACAGAGAGAGAGCACGAGAGAGAGAGAACCTGGGACAGGTGAAGAAAGACGGCTACAAAACTGGTGGAGTTCTTAAACTGGGTCTGACCAACTTTAACAAAGAAGATTTAATACTATCTGTGGAGAAAACAAAAAGGGATTGTTGGTTTATTTGCTTATATCATAGTTGACTAATATAACTAAGAGTAAATGACTGGAGCAGCAGTCCCAAGTGCTCACTTAAGTTGTTGGAGGGAAGGGAAGAGCTCTGCAAAAATAACAGGAACCAGTTGCCAGTTGGCTGCACTGCACCTGTCAGCAGCACCACTTGGGGCACAGACAGAACTGCCTTAAAATTTGCTCTCAGTATAGTGGGTAACCTTGGTGAATTCTTGTTGCTTCTTTTTTGCTTGAAAATGTGAATACATAATAACTGAACAGAATAACATTATTTTTAGTTGTATATTGTAACTCCATTCCAAGCCTGCTGAGGCCTGGAACTTCTGGGAAAAGGAAGCTTAACACATTTCTGCTATCTCCTCCTTACAATATTGTTTCACTCCATCTTATTTTGTCTAGTCTTTCCTATCCTTTTATCCTTCTGCCTAATCAGTTCTAAACCTGGTCACTTTTGAAACTGACTCAGCTTCATTATACTATTGCTGTAATTGGCATGGCAGGAGACAGCAGCATGCATGGTCCTTTCCTGGTGTGAGAAAGAATCAGCAGGAAAGAACTAAAGCAAATCAGCCAGATGTCATCACAACCCAAAGAAGTGCACTGGGATCCAGAGTCTGAGTGAACAAGCTGTTTTTTTTCCCTGTGTAGCTGCATTACAGAGAAGCTCTGCTTCTTTCTGTCTTATCGTTTCTCAATTCTGTGTGTGTGTGTGTGTGTGTGTGTGTGTGTGTG